AAATGATTAGGGTACATAAAATACATGATATTTTTTCCGTCATGTATTATACATGAATTGATATTATACAATATATATCGTGTATTATTCATGTATTTTTCTTTCGTTAATAGGCATAAATAATAGGAGATATTGATTTATATCATACTTATTAAATAGTTACTATAATTTTACCACTAAATTGAATATAAAACTAATCAAGAATAAACTTCTGAAATGTTTTTTAANATTAAACATAATAGATAATTTCTGAGCTACATTTAATCTTTGCACACTTTATATAAATAATATATTAATTTACATATCAATGATTTAAAGTTATGTGTAATTCTAATTAAGTCTATTAATTTTTTATTTATAAATTTATAATAATAAATATTTTTAAAAATAAAGGTAGTTTTATAAAAAAAATAATTTTTAAAACTTCAATAAGTGTTTATAAAATTTTAATATATGGATTCTTAATTCTTTGGAAATGTATGTTTTAAAACCAAAATTATTATTTTAATTAATTTTATTTGATTAAAAATGAGTAAAAGTAAATCAAAATCATGTGCATAGAAAACTCCCAAAATGGATGACAAGAATTCTTGCAATCCTTACAACAAAAATATCAAAAACTGATATGGATTAAAAATTAAACTTAAAAAACATTTCAGAAGTTTATTCTTGATTAGTTTTATATTCAATTTAGTGGTAAAATTATAGTAACTATTTAATAAGTATGATATAAATCAATATCTCCTATTATTTATGCCTATTAACGAAAGAAAAATACATGAATAATACACGATATATATTGTATAATATCAATTCATGTATAATACATGACGGAAAAAATATCATGTATTTTATGTACCCTAATCATTTCTAACATAAATATATTTTAGAGTTACAGAAATGCTTTATTGATTGAAAACATTGCACTAAAATAGCTTAATATTATTTTTTGATTTGTTGGGACAGGCGATAAGGTTTCGGTATATTGTAATGTGGATAACCATACGGACCATAAACTCAAACTGAGTCTATCTTTGCATCAAAAGCAAAATTATTTCTTTTCTAAAGTCAAGTGCAAGATATCAAACGAAGACCCGTTTGACATAATTGAAGCCAATTTGAGAAGTTATTCAAAGCGTATATTAATAGGAATTCCCTCCAATATAAAGACCATGTCATTGGAGAGCGATATATTGAAAATAAGTTATCAAATCCGAGTGACAATTCAAACATTGGATTCAAAAGAGTCACTTAAAGTGGAATTACCTGTTATTCTGACTATAACTCCCAAATCATACACTTATATTGAACCGGATTTACGATCACTTCCGCCTTCTTATAGCGATTGTCAGATCTTTCAACGCTATGCCTCCGAAGATATTTGCTTTCCGGTTGTCTTTAAAGACAAAATGCTTGCGTTAAGGGATGGCAACAAATCGCAAGCATTTCACAAATCAGATCAAAGCCAACGCCAATCATCTGTTTTTGTGGATTTGCCGCCGAGTTATACAGAAGCCGTCTTCGGCTTTGATTTCTCTGTCATTAAATGAGTTCAAAACTCAATTATCTACGAGTTTATTGGTGTTTCAATTACTTTTAATTCACATGTAGTCAAGTACTACGTTCACCCTGTATATCATGTATATTTTAACATTTGTCTAATGATTTCAATTGGATGTACAGTACACTATATCAATTTATCCAGTATTTTTAACGAAACAATTTATTTTAAGATGTTTTATAAGAATATTTTTAAACATGACTTATAATATACGGTGTCTTATTAGTTAATTTGCATACAGTATTTGTAAAAATTAATTAATTAATTATATTTATTTACATTATAATAAGTTATTGTTTACATTTTGCAGGATAAATATTTTAAAACATATATTTACAGACCGTTTATATAATTAATTATTAATTATAAATGTAAAAGATGTAATTCTTACATTATAAATGAAATGTATATCAGTTATCTGATAGTTTTAAATATATTATTATTTCTAAATTTTGTTAAATGTTTTATATTTACCGGTAATAATATTAAAGATGTATTTTAATAAAAATAAAACTGGTGAATAAATAAATAATTGTAATTTTTAATTATATTTGTAATTCATTTGAAATAGAAAATAAGTAACTGAATGTTGATAAGCTAATAAATACTAAAGTGTAAGTAATTTGTTGGTTTTGCTAATCAAATTAGATGTTGAGATCATTTTGATGTCTCATTTGGTGAAATCAAATCAATTTGTGCGTAAGTTTTGGTAATTGAAATCAATTGAAGGCTCTATAACTGAAATACAATATGGGATTCAATCAACAAATTAATCACAATAATCTTAATGGATAACAAGCACCCCATTTATTTGATCTACAATTTTGCTTAAATTAAGATCAGTCGACCTATTATTTATCGACAAATTATCCTTATCCTTATTTGAAATTTGTTAAATTAATCACAATAATCTTAATGGATAACAAGCACCCCATTTATTTGATCTACAATTTTGCTTAAATTAAGATCAGTCGACCTATTATTTATCGACAAATTATCCTTATCCTTATTTGAAATTTGTATTTAATATTTTAGTTAATTAAAATATTGTCATAAATTATCTGTTTTAATTTTCAATAAATTTACGCTGTGTATTTTATAAAGTTTATTTATAAATTTGCTCTAAATTATTATAATGACTTGTAAATTTACAATTTGTTAGCAGAATTAATAAGTTTTTATAAATATAAAATATAATTGTGATTAAAATGTAAATCTTATTTATAAAAATAAAATAATTTAAAATTTTATAAAAATAAATTATATATACTACAAACAAATAAATCAAATTCAAAATCAAATTGAAAGCATTGAAATTGAAAGACATGTACAACAGTATATGTCATAATTCATAATAATTGAATTATAGTTTTATGATAATAGCTTTAAAATTATTTAGAAAAACAATAAACTTTTAGAGGTTGCACCCGTATACCGAGTATTGTTTTGAAAGTAATCAGACCTTAAAATTCAATTAGAAATTGTCAATTTTTTATTATTTAATTACCATAACAATAAAAATAAATTCATTTGTTAAAAATACAACTTTAAGGTCTCATTAGTTTGAAAAGTTTACAAAAGATCGTTAAAATTTATAGCCTTTCTCATGAAACTAACATTGGATATAACAGTAAAAACAGAAAATTTAGCACAAAATTGGTTTCAATTGAATTATATATTTGTGACAAATATTTAAGTGCGATTTATTATATGGTGTATAAAAGAAAATTGATAAAAATATTATCAATGTTTTAACTTGATATCAAAGTTAGCTTGATAACTTTGAGCACTATTGAAATGATCTCTGCTACTTAATACATTCAATTAAGGTATTCAATAACAAAATGCTTATTATTTAGAACTTATCGAAAGTTAGAGCTGCAAATATTTTCAATTAAAAAATTCTTGAAATCATTTATATTAACAAATAAAATCTAATTAAAAATATATAATAATTATAATAATTTTTAATTTTCTGTCACTTATTTAAATAACAGTTATTTAAAAATTCATTTGTATCACTGTGACATAATTTTCAATGACACTATTTGAATACTCCAAAACACTATTACTGTATTGTATAGTGAATTAATAGCATACAGTAGTTGCCCTCCAATTCAGTGCATAATAATTAAACAATAATTTGCAACATAATATAAAGTCCCGGTTGTTACAAATTGCAAATTATTAGTCTATGAAAACTTCAAAATACAGTTTTATATGATTTACAAACACAAGAACAACATAATCACAGGATTTGCTTAGAAAAGTGAAATGCTTTTATGAAAATATGAAAATGTCAATTTATTCACAAATATTTTCATCACTAATTTTAATGACTTGCTTTGTAAATAACTTTGAACCAGTTGTGAGACAAATAAACGGAAAATTCATTTGACAATTATATTACCATTTCATGCATCCAATGTATCTCATTATGTGCATCACTTATACTGTAAACTGACCCAGTCACTACATATTATTGTACTATTAGCATTATTAGACCAGTGCACTCCACATCCCCATCCCTATCTAATCCTCATTCAAGTTTTGGTCACAGTTTTGTCACTGGAAAGTGACTTTGAAATCGAGTCAACCATTTGTACTGAAATATTCTGTATGTGTTTGTGTGACCAGAATTTGTAACAGTTTTATCACATAAACAGTTATGTAAGTGAAAGTATGTGTCAAGTATACTGTATGTTCAAATGAGTTTGTATTATAATTGCAATATACATCATGTATGCAAACATGTTTTCAAATTGATAAGTGCATCCAAATTGTGAATATGAAACCAAAATGACAATTGCTTATGCATGCACTTATTCATTACATACACTATTATATTGTAAGGTAGTATACCTGTACTACATGTAAGTTATATTCTTTAAAAATCCTTAAGAATTATAGACTAGTCATAAGAATGTGGATAATAGTGAGTTGGCTATGATATCATTTAGTGTAATAGTGTTGTCTATTTACTAGTTTACTAAATCTAATTACTAATACTAAACTAATCTAAATTGATTACTTATATCAATACTGTACTGTATATTGAACTCACTTTACAGTACAACACACAATACCACACAAGTTGTGTATTCAAGTCAAGTCATTGCATAACAATATCATACATTCAGTTCACTATCATATCTAGAATATTGCATTAAGTGCCGCATAGACTAGAGTGCCATCTGTTGCATCAATAAGTTGCACAGAGTATGTGTGTGTGTGTGGTGTGTGTGTGTGTGTGTGTGTGTGGAGCGCATGCGTGAGTGCGGGTGAGACTCTATGTGAACAAAGAGAGTGAGTGAGCAATGAATGGTCGATAGTATCGGCGGTTGCATAGCATTGGTGTGTATTGCGATGTATTGAGTATTGATTGTCGTGCGTTAGACTCACACTATAGTCTCTCTCTGGTCTGTGTGTGCACTCCAGTGTTGACTCGCATTCAATGTACGACTCATTCATACATTGATTTGGTTTGCAATCAAAACATAAATAATATTCATTGGTATCAATGAAAACAGTCGTGAGTCTCATTTGAGTATCATTTGAGTGTCATTTGAATGCATACGAAGTTTTCATTGCAATTCTCGCCCAAAACCACTGTCACTGTCAACCCATACAACAGTCTATTGTTTTGATTATCCAAACGAATGTAAATATATTTGATTAGAGTTTGTCTTAAATGATGTTTTCATACGAAATGGCATTCATTTGAACCACAGAGCGATTGCTATGAAAAGCGAGTCATTGGTTGACAATCAGAGTATGGATTCGTGTGAGACATCCATTCAATGCATACCATCTGAAGGGACGGACATTATGTGTCAAATGAATGGCAACTCATTGGCAGCACAATCACCACCACTGGATCCACAAACGGATGGCACAGTGAAGCCCATAAGAGTGGAGGCCAACAGTTGGACAATAGAGAGCCAAACGATGTCTTCAGCGAACGGTTCCGTATCCGTTGAACAACAAACTCAAACCGATCTCATCGACGACTGTCCGCAACTCAATGGCAGCCCAACCATAACCTTGGGATCCGCCACACAATCACTCATTCAGAGCAACACTGCTGTCAATAACAATACCATTAATGCAAACACTTCTCCAAACAATAGTTCACTAAATAATAACAATTTAGTTAATAATAAAAGTAATTGTATTACGAATACAATTAGTAGTAATCATAGCGTGAGTACGTCGACGACAACCACTCCCACCGCACCCCTTGTGGCCAACAATGCCATGGATTTGCCAAAGACTACCACAAACACCAATCAGACAAATACGGCCACCAATGCCGCTCTCAATCAACCAAAACGTCTTCACGTCTCTAATATTCCCTTTCGCTTCAGAGATCCCGACTTACGACAACTGTTTGGGGTAAATATCATACCATTCCTTACCATACCATCGGTTTTCTTGTCTTTCTTTTCACTGCTTTTAATCTCCTTTTTTCACACAACACTTGATTTGCTAACAAAGTTTTACTTCTCTTTTACTTAATCCCCAATTGTTTTAATAATCAATTTAACAGTTGTTTGCATCCAAACAAAGTCTCGCAGTTTGCCTATAGTTTGAGATTATAATTAAAATGTTTTGCATGTTTTAAGTGATCCAACACTGCGAAGACATTTGTGCGAATAAATTGCTTTTTATGCCATTTATTGCCATTTATTTTACGCCCGATTCTTGTGTCCCATTATTCCCTCCGCTAATTCATCTCAGATTCCTATTTCTATCTCCAGACTAAATGTTTCTTTGAATTTGAATTAGAGTTTGCTTTTAATTAATTCACTTATGTATTGATTGTTTTTCTTATTGAATGCAATTTGTTTGTCTTTCCTTTCACAGCAATTCGGACCCATTCTTGACGTCGAGATTATATTCAACGAAAGAGGATCTAAGGTATGGTTCGTTTGATTACTTTCTATCTCTCTCTCCGTTCGTTAAGAACTGCTTCTCAACTGTTATATCAATATTGGAGAGCCGTTCCGGACGTATAGTTTGTTACAATCTATATATTTTTGACAATAAGTTTCGCTTCAATTCATTTCATTTCTACTATTTATTTGAATTCCTTTGAGTAGTGCATCACATCCACGGTATTCACTATTTTCTCTGAACTACTCTTTATTTTATTTGTTTTATTCTTTGTTTCATTTTTTCATTTCTTTAAAATAAGCATTTTTACTCTCAATTTCTCACTCACTCGCACACACACTCACACTCACCCCTATGTTTATCATTTATTTTAAAGCAAATCATTATAATTCTTTCTGTTTGTTATTATTGTCTGACTCTTGACTTTATTTATGAGTTCTTCGTTAGCATTAAATTCTGGTCTTATAATAGATTTTGCTTTCATTGTGAAATAGTTGAGAACAGATGTTGAGACACCGATTAAAAGTCTCTACCTTTTGTTGGTCTTAGTTTTTTGCTTTTGTTTTTTCTATACTCACAAACCATACGTTTATAACAAGAATAGTAAGAATAGTGATAATCAGCGCTCAGTTATGCTAAGCTATAGTATAGTTATGCTCTTCTCCTCCTTTTCCTACTTTTCCTTCTCCTGTATTCCCAGAGTTTGTATATAAAAGAGTGACTCGAACTCCAAACAGATGTTTAAAACCTAACACTACATCACATTTTGGACTAATTTTTTCTACTCTCAAGTCTTCTTCTTATTGAGTCAATGAGAGCTCACTTTTCCTCTCAAATCACTGAAACTTTATTTAAATTTAGAGAAAAAAGATTAGAAAAATGCGAAACAGATGTTTAGAATATGAGAACCCAATTGAGTGTTTTTTACTGTTTTAATATATTGAATACATTTTAGGGATTGGTTTCAGCATTTTTTATAATTATTTTTTATGAGACCTTTTTGTGACATGTCTTTTGTTGTAATGATAAGGGTTTCGGTTTTGTGACGTTTGCCGCCAGTGGTGACGCGGACAGAGCTCGCGAACAATTGAATGGGACGGTAGTAGAGGGCCGTAAGATTGAGGTGAACAATGCCACCGCCAGGGTTCAGACAAAGAAACCCACGCCCACTGCCATCATCACCAACGGTAAAGCATTTTGTTTTGCGACTATATTTAGGTTTAGTTTTATTATAAGTTTTAAGTATAAATGAAAATATAATTAACGCAAAGCGCACAACACGTCTCAAACTATATTATATTTGCGCCGTTATTACGGTATTATTATTATTATTATTATTATTATTATTATGAGTCCATAAATCACTCCGAATTAAAGGTTTTGTCATAAACTTAATGCAAGTTTTTGGCTTCAAATTAGCTCGAAGTTTGAATGAATTGATTGAATAAATAGATTGTCTTTATATCAGAAAAAGGCGTTCAGAAAAAATTACTGATTTTATGTCTAAAGCTGTCTAAAGCTATTGAATCGTTGGACTCATTCAAAAGTGTTTAAACAAAATACTGTTTTCTAGAAATTCCTATTTTAATCAATCAATCAGTTATGTTGAAAAAGAAAATTCAAAATTACTCACAATTATATATCACACCAACAAAATCAGAAATGAGTTTTTGGCACAAATCTCTTTTCCCCATAAGTCCTGTAACTGTAATAACTGTCAGACAATTAGATTTGTATTCAAAAATAGAACAAACGCTCAAATAATTGACAACAAAACAGATTCTTGAATACAGAGTATGTGTTAGTATTTGCTGTGTCTCTCAAATGCACGACATTTCTCTTCATTTCTCCCTAATATTAATGTCTTCTCATAACCAAACATTCAATTTGGGAACAATTATACGCTTTTAATTTTCTATTGCTTGTAAGCACTGACTTTATTATTATGATAAGTGTTTTTTGGACGCTAATTGTTTGAATGTTTCTAATATAATCCATTTCACAAATCAACTCATTTAATGAACGATTAAATAACACTTTTCGGTGAAGGAAAACATTATGCAAATCAATGCAAACCTTAAAAACACTTATTTTCTTGATTGCGATGACTATGAAGACTGAAACTGAAACCACAATTGAACTCAATATTGAGATGACTGAGGAATGCGGTGTTTTGTCTACTTATTAAGCGCCAAATTTGCACAAATATACTCTTAATTTTGACTTAATTTTCTGAATTGACAATCTTTGGCAACAGACATCTAATCTAATGTTTATGATTTTAATCTCATAGTACTGTAGTTTTTGTACTCTATTGTAGTTTATTTGTTGGCAATTTCTCCCAAATTCTGCTATTATTTACATTTTTTATTATCGCTTCCTTTTATTATTCTGTAGGAATTCCGACTAATTTAGTGGATAAGGATTTAACACTTAATGTGATTTTTGTTTCATTATTTTTGCTAACAATTTCTTTGCTCTATTATTTACATTTTTTATTATCGCTTCCTTTTATTATTCTGTAGGAATTCCGACTAATTTAGTGGATAAGGATTTAACACTTAATGTTATTTTTGTTTCATTATTTTTGCTAACAATTTCTTTGCCAAAATATTTGAGTTTATAATATTTGATAACTATAATAGTAATTGTATTGAATGCGAGTTTCAAGCAAACCTATGGTTTGTGTCCGTTTTGGTGCACCGATTGTTGTCTTATTAGACATTACATGACATATCACACAAACACTGAATCGCCAATTCTTTCAAAATGAAACTGTTATTTGCACTCAAATACTACATCTCAGTATCGTTTACTCTATGTTTATCTAACACTATATCTCACACAACATGATAACTGCATAGAAGCCTTCATACAATCCTATTTTGTTTGAAAATTTTATTTTCATGTCATATTATATTTTTTATATCACTTTATTCTCTCTCACATCAGAATTGTGTTTTGATTTATTGCTATCTCTTTATCTTCTATTATACAAACTTATATTTATGCCATTTTCACAACTCTTCATCAACTCTATATGAATACAATACAATACAACATATAATAAGTGTTGAGAAAATGCTTTTTCCTTTCTTTCAAATGTCTGTTGCATTGTTTGGTCCCAAAGAAAAAGGACTTAATTTATCAGTGCTTTTATTGCTTCTAATTTCTGGTGCTTTACTTTTATTATGTTTGGTTTTATTGGGTTTTTAATGCACTCTTTTGCGTCAAAGTTCACAAAACAATACCATAAGTTTAGGTTTGAAAACACAATCCATTTATTTGATATAATTTGAAATTGATTTTACAATTTTCAATAGCAATTGTATGATTGAAGAATTGAATTAATGATACAGTAGCAATATTGCTTATTGATGATTGTATATGATTTCAATTATAACATATAAATAAAGCGTTAATTTCAAAGTATTAAGTGTTATGCGTTTTTGAATAAAGCGGTGTCTAATTAAAAGGGGATAACGTTATGCCATTATTTTCTTCTGTTTTGGTGACTTATAATTCATTATTGAAACGAATTTTAATTTGAGAATTTAACAAAAGATTTCACACTTTGTTAACAAGACTGCATGTGTTTCTGATATTTTCATTGCATACTGTACTGTATTGTAACGAATGTAACAATTGAAACAAACCAGAGATGAAATGTTAATGATTTGGTTCTTCTATATTCTCTGTCTTGTATTGCCTGATGACTGATTGGTTCGGGAATATTAATAATGCAATAAACAAAACAATGTCTAAATGAGTAGTGGCCGCCTTGAGGGGCGTAGCGATACAAAGAGGCACTCGGGTCGCACGGGCCCAGACACTGGCCGCAGCATTTGCAAGACACCCAAATCCACTAACTCAAGCAGCCGCTGCCACCACCTTGCATGGTTATGCTGCCACCCCGTAAGTGTGATCTCTATACCATACATCTCTGTACATACTATACTAATACTCTACTTACTTATTTGGTTGGTTATGGTTGAGGTATTCATTATTATCATATCATTATATCATTGTCTCATTGTCACCACCACTCCCCCACCTCTCTCTCTCTCTTTCATATCATTTCCAATCACATCCAATATATCACACAATGGATTAGTTTCCTTTCTCTTTCATCCTTACACTTGAGTTTTCTTTCACTCAAATCTTCAAACATTGAACGCAAACATCAAATACTACACAAACAAACACTACTCTATCCTACAGTATATTCAAAGTACAATATTCTCAACATTAAAACTAATGTTAGGCTTAAAATTAATAAATGTTAGTTATTTTCATCTCATATATGGTATGAATTAATAAAAACCAAGTCTCAAATATATTATGTTTAATGTTATGCTTTAATTATATTAATATCGATCCTGAGGTAAGTTTTCAATCATTATTACAACAAAATATTCTTTTGATTTATTTTATGACAAATAATTTGTATAATACCAACCAAATGATTACGTTTTAGTTTTATTATTATAGATATTTTTATAAATTATAGTTTTTGTAACTATTTTAATTGTATTTTATATTAAGATTGAGTAAAGTAGTGATTAATTGCTATAATAACGATACGATTAACTAATGCCTAATACAGTTAGGAATGTTTTGTTTGTTAATAACGGTCACTAACTCTGAGCCCAATTCGGATTGTTTTTACTAAACGACAGCCTCATTGCCAGGAGTGCGGTATATCAGGACCCGTTCCTAACTTACGCCGCCGCTGCCGGTACTGATCGCTACCAATTGCCGGTCAGTTATGCCCTTTCATGCAAACATGCCTTTTATGCCAAACGCATTGTGTTTTATCCAAATATAGGCCAGTTATGCGGCCAGTGCTGCCTATACAGCGGCAGCCGCCCGATCCTATGCCGCCGCAGCAGCCGCTGCACAGGCCAACCCTGCCGTTGCCTACGCTGGAGTGGCCGGGTATGTATTCCACTCTATACATCTATACATCTATTCTCTATATTTACTCCCTTTTATTTATCATCAATTTTTAATGAATTCTGCAATCAATACATTTATATAAAACCCAAAGCAAACATTCATTTGAGTCCATGTTTTCATATCTATATCTAAACGCTTGAATATTTGAACAGAAACTGAGAGAATATTCTTCTGAATATTTAAATATTGATAAAATTGCGTTAATATTTCACATTTTGTGATGTGTTTTACAAAACGAATAGAAAATGTTTGATAATTCTTTACGAATATTATATTCGTTTAGATTTTGTGTTTATTTTATTGATTTTCTTAACCAAAAAATATAACTTAATATTCATTACGACTGACATATAAAGCTCAGTAATGGTTATGTGAATCGCTATCACACGAGAGAGAGATTTTGGACACATTTTTATCATAAAATTGTGGCAAAATTGAATGAATAAATTTTAAACTGCGATAAAACTGGAAATATTTATGAAAATTTATAACTATAAGCCGTGATTGTATTGATCAAACATTCTTGGCATTGTTTTTTGCTTTTAATTTAAATGCATTTTAAAACTTTAGAGAAGTTTTCCATTCTTTGAGAGATCTCTTAACGATAAGATATTTGAATAACAATAGCATTGAATGTATTGATCTGGATGTCGGCTCAAAAGCATTGACAACTCTTAACGTAAAGTGTTAAAGTGTGCAAACATTTGCATGTCTTTGGATATCATTTCATATTTTTGTTATCATTTCTATCGAAACATATCACGAATTGCTTCTGAATTAATATTCCATTCAAACACACAATTTTCAAATAACAATACTATAGGCCATAGCAATCGAAACATGCCATCAAAGTTATAACATTTTTGTTGAAACATGTTTTGAATTTGAATAAACAATTTTGATTCAAACAAAAATTACAAATATTTTTTTAATATGCCTTTTTATACAACAAATAATGATTTTATAAAATATTGCAAAGATTGCTATTTTATCGAATTGTATAACAAATTGTTTGATGAGAAAGTATTTAAGACATTACTTCTTATTACTTATAATCAGTGAATGTTAATTTGTTGATAAATATTAAATTATGTGTAAAAGGTTCCGCTTTCAAAGACTATTTTCCTTAAATTAAGTTATTTTTATTTTATATTATCTCTCAATTTTTAAATTGAAAATAAAATTGATGATTTGGTGAAATATAAAAAGTTAATTTTGTTTTATATTTGTTTTAAACTTACTTTTTTATCTTAAAATAACTTAAAATTTCTGTCATCACTTTTTCAATACTGTTTTAGTATAAGAAATTTATTTGACTATCTTTTAAGATCTTTAATCCATTAATGCTTTAAAAGGATGTTTTAGATTTTATTTAATAAAAACTTTTATTTTAAAGTCCATTAGTTTGTTCCATACACTAAAGATCTTGAGCACAGAATTGCTTAGTGCTATTTGTTATTATCTCTATTGCATTTGATCCAAAAATAATTATTTATTTATTATTATAATCTTTATTATTATAAACAAATCTACACTTCACAAAACTATTGCTTTTAAGACTTTAAGATTTAAATAATGTATGCATTACTTGAACGTATGGGTTATAACTCATTAACAACAATAATTACTCTATAATTAGGATTTAGTTCTTAATTTGAATTTAGGTTTTTATTATGATATTCATTACTCCTCACTAAAGAATTGAATGAATGAGTGAATTAGTAGTAATGAAAAACCTATGAAACAACATGTATTGACAAGAATTTGTTATTCACACAACTCTTCCTTTATTTAAAACTTTATTTTAAATGACGGCAAATATAATGTTTTATTTATTATATATTTATTGGTCGACTAGTTATGGGCGCGAATTTGCTGAACCGTATTTGGGACACAGTATTGGACCGGTGGCTGGATATGGGGTGAGATATATTGACTGCAAATGATGTTCAGTTGTCATGAAATTCTTGTAAACCATTGCTTTGATGTACCGATAGGTCGCGTATCGGAGCGCAGCTTATAATCGATTCACACCCTATTGAATACAAGGAATTAATTCTACAAAAATGCTTTTAAATTGAAAATCTCATAAATCAGTTATTTTTCCACAAAACCTAAACTCAAGATAACGGAAGAAAATAACTTACAATATAATACTCGTGTATAGAATCGATTGAAAATAATGCAACTATTATTTGGAGTCTCATTCATAAGCAAAACCAATATTACTCTTTCGCTCTCTTTTGTGTTCTCTCTCTCTCTCTCTCTCCGAAATCTTCCGAAACTATAATTTTATTTTACGTAACGATGACTATCACCGCTATTTCCACATTTACCAACCCCTTCATCCCTTTCCCCTCCATCTCCCACTCCTTTCCTTTTCTTCAATCTAATGACTCGACTCTAAAGCGAAATATTTTTATCTCATTTTTCGATTGATTTTCTGTTTTAATTTTAATTGTTAAATATTAATGTTTTTAATTTAAAACTACAGATAAAACAGTCTCTTATTTGTGTTTTAATTTTAAAAAATATTATTTTTGAACTAATTTATTAGCTCATACTGTAATGTTCACCTCATTTATTACAAAATCCATGCATTTTAGGCAACTTTTTATTATTAATTATTATTACATTTTTTGTTTTGTAGTAATTTTTTGATCGCTAGTCAACCAAATATAACTTAATTGTATTTTTGTGAACACATTTTAATTTAATTCATGACAGTTTTGTGTTTTAAGTCAAATGTTATTAAGTTTTTTGAGTTAAAGATAAGTAAGTTAAACAAAATACTCGAGTTAGGCATCAAAGACAAACACAAACATTAAGAATTTCAACATATTTTAGTTGTTTTTTGTGACGATTTGTATTTACTATAAGTTTAAGAATTACAACATTTCTATCATCCAATTCTCCATTCAATATACCGGTATATA